GTACCGAGAAATTGACCTGAAAGTTCTGAATTTTGATAATGAAAGCTACTTTTTTTTGATCAATAATGTTTTCTGAAGAGGATCAGTCGTTTGATTGAGAAAAAGACTGAAAAAAAAACTTTTCCAAAAAGTGGCTGGATCTCCATGGATTTACCCATCTGTTAATTGTGATTATTTCGATGAGTGATAGTTTTTAATAATCTATTTCCAAATAAAAAATAAAATAATTATATTTATGATGAAAAGATTCATAACTGATAAAGATTCTATTTGAATGTTCTTATATCGATATGTTTGTAGATATTCATCGAAAATAAAATTCCTAAAATGATTTTATTTTATAAAACTTACTTTAAAATTTAACATTATGGTAATTTATTTATCGAGTCAAACAAACAAAAAAATGAATTATACAATAAGCGAACAGGAGACGTTTAACTGAATAATTTTCTTCTAGCTAGATATTATAAATTAAGTATTAAAACATACTAAAATACTTACTAGACAATAAAAAAAAATTTTTTATTCTCGACGCATTAAATTTGAAATTATTTTATATTCAAATCGATACTTCAGTTAATATCTTCACTAATCAATTATAAAATAAGAATATTTTTACTTTTAAAACTTAGTTGAACAAATAAAAACTGGAATATTTCAATCATAGTTTGACTAAATAGGCTAAGTTTGTTTTACTAATAATAGAAATATGTTCATAATTAACATTTTTAAAGAAAATCTTGAAAATAATTGTATTGACTTATGAAAATAGAGTTCGACCAAGGGTCTATCCAAATTTACAAAAACGAACGAGTCAATGTCAACGATGTTCTCTTTTTAGCTATACAAATCCTATATCACATTGTCAAGTCAATGAACAAGTTTATAGAGATATCTTAACAGAAATAAAGCAAAAACGTGCTTTAATTATTTTAATTGTTGATCTTCTTGATATGCCAAATTCAATTAGCTGATCATGGGTGAATCTCGTCGATCAAACAACTGATTATCATAATACTTCACCAAATATTATGTTTGTTCTTGGAAATGAAGTTGATTTATTACCAAAATGCAGATTTGTTTGCAATTACAAATAGTTTCTTCTTACACAAATGAAGTTCGGAAAACTTTTTGCATATATGCAAAAAGAATATCGACTAGTTAAAAAGATGTATCATTGACTTCAGCGTCATTTCTCTCAAATTTCTTAGCACTTATTGCACCAATCCATAAAGACCAAGAAATAATTGAGATACTAGCAATGTTTTTTTTTTTTTTATAAAACTCGACAAGGATTATACAGAGGATGTATTTAAATTAATAGTATATCTATTTTTGACAGTCAATCTTAGTTGTCTAATGTTCATAAATGTCTTGAAAATGAATGTACTAAACGTGGTTTAGGAAAATACATTGCTAAATATTATGGTTTAATTAGTGCTCGAAATGGATATGAAATTGAAGAACTTATTTCGAAAGTATTTCGTTATTGGTGACAACATGGTTTATCTAAATTTTTCATTTCTTTTTCACTGTAATATAAATACAGAGTGTCCCAAAAGTCATTTTACATTCGAAAAACTTTGATTTCTCTGCCACCTTTTTGACCAAATAGGATGATTTTTTTACTATTGATAAACGAGTATCCAAAGTTCATATCGATAAGAAAAACATTGAAAAATACTACTTTGAATTATCGTCTTTGACTTGAATACAGAAAATTATTCTCCAATGGCATTATGAGGATGATATTCTGAAAACATTTCTTAATCGATCTTGATTAAATGAGGTCAGATCGCTTGAAACCTAAAAGTAAATATCATTACTTCACTCAGCGCGAGTGAACCTCTCAGAAAAATGCTTATAGCTTCAAAATGAAACAAGCCAGCAAGCTTGGACTTGCACAGATTCAACGAAAACAATTTTTTCTATTGAATGGTTACATTGAAAGTCAAAATCGATTAAGAAATTTTTTCAGAATATCATCCTCATAATGTCATTGGAGATAAATTTCTGTATTCAAGTCAAAGACGATAATTCAAAGTAGTATTTTTCAATGTTTTTCTTGTCGATATGGACTATGGATACTCCTTTATCAATAGTAAAAAAGTCATCCTATTTGGTCAAAAAGGTGGTAGAGAAATCAAAGTTTTCGAATGTAAAATGACTTGTGGGACATTGTATTTTTTGCTTTCACGTTCTAATCTATCAGAAATTGCGTTAACTGCTTTTTTCCTAAAATGCACAATTTCCTATTAATTCTTCAAATCGACAAAAATATGTTTCCAATTCTGTTGCCAACTAGAGAGTTAAGGATTCACGTTTTTGCGGACCTGAAGCCGATAGATTCAGATAGAGCCCCGGTCGGATTTGGATCCCAATTTGTTTCCACCTATATCTGATATTCTCTTTGTATATCTACGTGATTAATCTCAGAAAAAAATCAATATGTAGAGTTGCCTCTTGTTCTTTATCCTCTCATCATAATCATTCTATGCTCAATAGATTATAAGTTTTGTACAAATTCAATGTAAAGTTATATCTGAACATAATTAGATTCAAAGATTTTAACTCTTTTCATAAAATAGAAAACAATTTTCTTCTCTATTTTAACACATTCGTTCTACACAAAATCAATTTTATTCAAATAGTAATTGCGAGTAATAATATAGTACAACAAATATCAAGAAAATAGTTTCTCACATATTATGTAAATCGTGAAATTACTTTTGTATATATATATAAGTCATTTTTGAACAATTGATTCTTGTTTCATCTCTTTTAAAATTGTGTGTCACTCTTTGTAATGACTCATAGATAGCATCAAATGTAACATTCATTGGCAAACACACTTTTGTATCAAGTAGAAATTGTTCAACATAATCATCATGAGCTTCACTAAGATCAAGATAAGTAAGATGAGGATATTCAATAATTAATAAGTCTCCGTCATAATTTTTTGAGCTTCTATTTTGTTTATGATTTTGTGGTGTCCAATTAATTAAAGTTAATTTTTTCACCAACGGAAATGATTGAGCAATTCGAAGAAAAAATTCATATTCAAATGGACGTTCATCAGATAATGATATTTCAGGAACACATGCAAATAATCCACCAGGAAAATTATTTGTAATATGTTTATAATATGTCATTGTAAATGGATATGAATAGACATGGCATCGACCTTTGTTTGCAAGTGGGAAATAATCGACAGAAGAAATAATTTGATTATCATTGAATTCTCTAAATGTATCTTGAATATCTTTATTTGATGGTCAGTTAATTTGATTATCAAGCCAAACAGATGACCAAATATTAAATGTAAATGACTTTAATCGTGGCAAATGATTAACAATATTTTTTTCAAATCATTCCCATCAACAAATAGGTTTTGGCGAAAATATATAAAATACAAGCAAAGTTGTTCTAAATTCGACATTCGATGTAAGAGTGGTATAATTATTTCATCATAGAAAACTATTTCAAAGTCACAAGACCACGACAAATATATTAGATTTGGTAGCTTTTTCTAAAAACGATTTAGCAATTTGTTTCAATAAACTAAGAATTGATAAAAGCATACTTTATTTATATTTAAGATGGAACGAGAGGATGAGAATGTTATCACGAAGTTGATTGAAACGGCCATCAAGTAAATCAAGACAATGATCAATATAATTTACTTTGATATGCAATTCTTGCAAAGTTACAGAGGAAACAGTTGGAAGTATATTCCAAAATGATATTCCTCCAAAGAACATTATACTTGGATCAAAATTTAAATATCGTTAATTAGTGAACATAGTGCAGATATTTGTGAATATAAGTGTATTTAAATTATCTGGGAACCAATTATTGTTAATATTCGAAGTGATAAAATCTGATTTTTGAATATTTGCAATATAGAAGTTTGATCGAAACAAATACAAAAAGATTTTTACTATTGATTAAATCGTAGTATCGGTTCTTTTAATCATGTTTTCTATTAATACCTTGGACTTTTTTTGGAAAATCTTATTTGATGTAGAAAATAAAGTTCTTATTGCCTTCCTTTCAATATATTGATTTCTTTAATCATCACTTAGTTTTATTGGCTCGTATTCGTAGACAAATGTAAGCAAAAAATCAAAATTATCTTACAATAAAAATGTTTAATGATATAATTAATCATATAAAGAATTTCTACCAAGAATATCTTACCTGTAAAGAGACGTAAAGCAGTCTCCTTTTGCATGCTATATATGCCAAGTCTTGAGGGTGTGGGTGTGGGTGTGGTTACGGTATTGTAGGTAAGCCATAATCATATCAAGAACACTAGCAGTCACACCCAAGCGCACCATCGCAATCGAATTAGAGATAGTAAGGCACCTGATGATACTCTAAGTGTGATGGAACGGTTTGTTCGTTCATTTCTTTTATTCCGAATGAATGCTTTTTAGAGTAACAATGCTGATACGAATACTATAAACAGTGAAGAAGAAGAGAAGAGAGAAGCAAATGTAAACTAATGATTAAATGATAAGATAAGAGTGATTAATGAGTAAATGCACTCTTGATGGAATCGTGATGGATGGAATCCGTCACACTAAGTAATAGTCAAACTGAGTTGGCGCTGCTTCGAACACACCCACACCCAAAAATAAATTAAAAAAAGAAAAGAGATATGATCGACACAAAAAAGGACGATAAAATGGTTCGTGATAGATTGAAAAACTAGCCGGTTATGCTGGTAGAAGTTCTTGATCTTTGACAGTCGTATATGATTTAAATGAATTAAACACGCCTATCATAGTATTGTATTGTAAAATAATATGGAGTAGTTCGTTACTAAGGGCAGCTCGTTTCACAAGGGGCAGTTTGAAACCAGGAATGCTCGAGAATGCTCCAGAATGTACAACGATTCTATCGAGTGATGTTAGAGTTGCTTTCGACGCTGTCTGTTGAGCAATAATTGCCTTCTCGAAATTTTTCATTGCAGCGTGGAAGTTTCCTCGTTGGACTTCTAAAATGTCTAATTCGGTTTTATAACGTGATGCATCATTGTATTTATCAAAGCCTGTAACTAAGGCATATGCACCCAAACCAACTAAACCAACTCCTCCAACGGCGGCTGCAATAGGACCAGCAACAGCTGTTGCAGTGATTGAAACTACTGCATATCCCGACTTGATTACTACCGTTCCTAACACAGCACCTCCAAGAGTGCCTACAACACCCCCTGTTGCTTCATAAAGTATTGCCATAACTTGATCAGTGGAGGTTTTGTCTTTCAATTCTTTAATTGCCATTTTCATTCCATCAGAGCCATCGTTTTCAGTGATTTTAATAAGTTGTTCTACTACCAACGTGACATTCAAAATTTCACCTTCGATATCCATGATAATATTTGTATGTTCTTTAGCAATACGATTGATTTCCATTACTTGACCCTGTTGAACGAGCGTTTGCATGATTTGTGTTTGTTCTTTTAACTTAGGTAGTAGATGTTTTTGATTAATCATCAATGCTTGAACGCCTCGTTGAAGTTTTTCGTACGTTATAGAAGTTTCACTCAATGCAGTCAACAGTTGATTTGCTTCCGCAAGTCTTCCTGCTTTTTTCGCGTGTGCTTCAATATTTATGTACGCTTGCCGAAACGTTGATGGTAGTTTCTCACTTGCTATATACACTTCTGATAATTCTTTGCTCGCCTGCCGAATTCCTGCTCCAAGATTACTTACAAGTTCATCTACGTTTATTTGAATAGTCTCATCATGATACATGCTGGTATAACGCTGCAGTTCTTCGATGGAAAGAATTTGACGAGACACAATGGGTTGTACTTTGTCCCGATCAACTATCATATTCTCCATTGCTGTGGTAGCATCAGGATACCAATTATATCGAGATGATTTAGAAAAGGAAATCTTAGAAGGATCCCACAATACTATAATAGCGATTAGCCCACAAAGAACGGTGAACCAGACTACTATCGTAATAGTTGTATAAATTTTATTGTACACTGACGTTGTTGAAAAGTTTGTTGCAATTTTTTTTTCTAACTCAGATGGATTGGAAGTCAACTGTGTTGTGCCGGCCTTGGAAGAAGAAGACTGTTGTTTTTCGTTTGCTTTTTTTCTTCGTCTTTGTACATCACAATTGTCTGAGTTAGCCTGCAAGGCTTCCATTTTCGGCACAATATTAATAGGCAATAGAATTTCCTCGTCGGAATACTCGGAAGGCGGACTGAATAATGTAATGATCCAAAAAATGAAACCCACCCGCTTAAACAGTTGCAGCACTATTACTGAACCGACTAATAGTACAAACAACGTTACTGCGGATTTGGCTACGCCACCAATCCAATCGTCATAAAAAAATACTTTCTTGTTACTGATAATAATATCCAGTGCTGTATCTGTCAGGTAAAACTTGGATCTAAAGTCTAAAAATGATTGATGCCATTTGTCGATGCTGCTAGTAACAACAGAATAGTTGCCTTCATTCAGGTAATAGTCAACCATGCCTCCATTATCTAAACTCTCCGTTAGCATATATAACAATGCTTTACAATCGCTTAACTGTTCGATAACGGAGGAATGATATGCATCTGCTTGATTTGCTATATTCGTCAGTAAAACTTCCATTGCTTTAAGATTTGGACTATGAATATGTGCATCTCTTATCAACGTTATAAATTCTTTTGTTGCGACCAGTGATGCTCCTTCAATAAAGGAACAGAGATAACCTGTTTCGTTTTGAAGAGATTTAATTCGGTCACTGAATGATTGATTGTCACCTGTGTTGTTATCAGCAAGTACTACACATTGAACAGTTATATAAGTAATGGTAATCAGAAGCACGAAGAAATTTCTAGTGTTCATAGCAATATGCAATGCCTGGATAGTAATAAGGTGAAACAAATAGAGATGAATCTGAATGATGACAGCAAATACGATGATGTAGTTGAAATTGTGTGTACTTTTTCAGTGTACTAAAATAATACGAAATAATAGGAGTAAAATTGCACCTAATATCAATATTTAGATCACATCATCCAATCGATAGACAAGATATATATCTAGACATGCAGTAAATCAAACCTTTTGTTTTTGATATGGCTTTCGGTTTGGAATAATTAAGATAATATTGACTTTGGCCTTGAGTCAAAGTCAATCCTTTTTCAATTATCTCTAACCAAAATCAAAACTCCAAACCAAAACTTAAAAAATCAGTTTTAATTTTGCCTCATGTCTGGATATGTCTGTCGAAGAAGTTTGAAGAAAAATATCCAAACTAAGAAAAAGAGCGACAACTGTTCTCAGCGTATGAAAAATGCGATTTTTTCGAGCCTTTTCATGTATAAAGTCAAGAAGCTCATACTGCTTAAGCGTGCTTCGCGGAAGAATGAAGAAAGAAAACGAAAAGAAACAAAACAAAGATAAAAATGTGACTGGGTTTTTTTTCCTTGACTTTCTGCAGCTGAAGAAATAGTATCTTACAACTCAACTCTACTGAACTAGGGTGTGGGTGTGGGTGTGAGGTGGAAGTGAATATCAACACCCACACCCTTACAATTACTTTTTGTTGTGAATGGAAAAATCAATACTGTAATGTAATATGACAAATAATAATAAAAGTACAAAGCTCTACAATAAAAGTTTGCCCATATTAGCAAAATCAGTTGAATATAAATTGCAATTGAGCATTTTGTGGCAGAGTACGTAATTCATTTTGAATTTCTTTTATTTTTTGAGACATCTCGTCGTCCGATTCCATACGTCCTAACACTCGTAGCGTTATTTTCGCTAAACAAGGGCAATAACTTGTCATTCTTATCCATTCTTTTAAATCCAATAGTTTGCTTATGCTATCCATGTTTG